TTTGGGTGAAAACTGTGATACTTTTTCAGGATTCTTTGATGAATAGAAAGTTTTTGTAATATTATAAATGTCTTTACTGTCACTTTTGATCAATTTAATGCATCCTTGCTGTATACAAGTATTAATTTCTTTTTAAAAATTCATACAAACCCCAAACTTTTGAACTGAAATATTTAATTTGGCATTAATGTAAATAGTCTGTTCATTGGTTTGTACTGTTGCTTGCTTTGGTATTGATTGTTCAGCCAAAATAACATAAAAAATATATAAATATATATTTCCACAAAAGTTCCAGTCATCAAAAACATGTGATACTTTTGAATTGTTGCACAATGGATTGTGAAAATTACACAGTATTTTATTTGATACCTCAAATCAAATTAAATATGGCATGCCAAGTATGTCGACAAAGTCTATAACAGAGGTGCCTAAACTTTCGAATATGAAAGTCCAAAAATCAAACTTGATTGAGGGCCATGAGCCAAAAGTAAATGTTGCATTATACCCAAACATATTATATTAAAATATATTAAATAAAAAATAAATAATAAAACATGTAAATATATTAATATAATAATATTTTTATATTGTTTATTTTTTTCAGTCAAATTCACTTCACACACACACAGACACACACACACAGACACAGACACAGACACAGACACAGACACAGACACAGACACAGACACAGACACAGACACAGACACAGACACAGACACAGACACAGACACAGACACAGACACAGACACAGACACAGACACAGACACAGACACAGACACAGACACAGACACAGACACAGACACAGACACAGACACAGACACAGACACAGACACAGACACAGACACAGACACAGACACACACACACACACACACACACACACACTCTCTCTCTCTCTCTCTCTCTCTCACACACACACACACACACACACATATATAAATTAGAAATGTAGATATGCTTCAATGTTATGTTTAATTCCTATTTTTCCCTCTTCCTCTTGTGATATGGCCTGAGGTCATCACAGGCCAACTTGGAGTCTGTTTTGGGCATTTCTTGTCTATACTGTTGAAACAGAGGCGGCTCTTTATAGTTGGATATATTTATCTGTAGGTCTATTAGGTTGCAATATTTACTTGGTCTGTGGACAGTTTATTGGTCAAATAAATCGTCTAATGTGGCATTAGCTCTCATGTATTATGCATTAGCATTTTAGAGGAGATTTTATTGCTCATGCTTTTCAATTGGTTAAAATAGAATTGTTTCCCGCTCATACGTTAACAGGTTTCAGATCACTTATGTATAAACTGCCTGCGAATGTGCATCTATAAATAACAGAAATAGCCCCAGGACAAAAGATTTTGTGCCTTGTCACCTGATGATTTTTTTATGCGTTTACATCTTTTCTTTTGTAGAGTAATGTTTTTATGTACTATGGACTCTCCAACTTCTATCAAAACCATAGACGTTATGTCAAATCAAGAGATGATAGTCAGCTGAATGGAGATAAAAGCTCTTTACTGGTGAGTAGTTCAGTAAAGATCTTCATGATGACTGACTAAAACTCAAGTAAAATGTCCTGGCATTCAGTTTTTAAAAGTACTTTAATTTTGTTGTGTATAATGACATGGTTTTGCTGAACATTCTAAATATGCTTTTTATGAAAGATCTGCTATAGGGCTGGGCTATATGCTTATTTGCTTCATTAAACAGTTGTCATTTTTCTTGATGGCTTGATGCCAATTGACAAGCGTATAGCTAATCATTTGTAAAACTGTCATTGAATGAAAGCACAGGATGTCATATTGTTTTCAAGTGTTCAAGTCTTTGTTCTGCAGAACCCAAGTAAAGAGTGTGAACCCTATCGAACGAGTGATAAGAAGTCCATTGCTCCCTGTGGTGCCATTGCTAACAGTCTCTTCAATGGTAAGACGAATTCTAACGCTTGTTGCCAGGTTCACATGTAGAGCTTTCACACTGACATTAGCGGTGTCCCAAATGATGCACTATACACTTGGCCAGCTAGTGTACAAATATCTTCACTTGTGGTGCATGTTTGGGAGAGAATCTCAATGCATAGCGGTTCAATGAATGGATGATCTTGCGACACAACCGTTTACATAAGCGCTGCACTGTTTACAGCAGAGGAAAAGCGCCACTGTACACAAACTGAGCCACACACAACAGTCTTTGTAACAAATATGTCTGCAGATTTCAACATAAATGAGGAGATGCATCTTTTGTGCAGCGCTTTTTTGTGCTCACCTGAACGTGCTGTGAGCTATTCAGAAGATATTTTGTGAAGAAAGACTCATATGTCTTTATCAAATTGCGTTTAAACCCTTGAAGCCACATGGATCACTTTTATGATGAATTTATGACCTTTTTGGAGCTTGAAGGTTTTGATTACCATAGACTACATGATTAATCACAGTAAAACCGAACTCCATCTCTGCATCTGCTCTGAGTTTTGGTCATGTTAATGTGCATTTGGGGAACGCTACATGCGCCAACTATCTTCCCAATTTTTTATTGAGAAATCGCTTATAAACCAGCTGCTGTCAACAAAAGAGAAGTTTTAAAGGCTGCCTGCAGTTTTCTGTCAAAATAAAAGTTTAGTGTAAAGTTTGTAAATGAAGAAGTTAAGACAGCCATAAATATTAGTATTGTAATTTTACAGTTGTGATGTAAAATTATGATGATGATGATTATGATTATTATTATTTTCTTAAATATTTAAATATTAAAAATATTTAAAATAGTATTAGTATTAAACAGTATTAAATATTTTTTACAGTAGTTATAATAATAATAATTATTGAATATTAAATATTTTAAAATATGTTTTACAGTAATAATAATAATATTATTATTATATAGCTTTATTAACATGTAACCACAAAATTTGAGCCAAATTGTGCAGCCGTAGAAGAACAGCAAATCTGGAATTTTAAATTGTTAAAGAGTTTTCATCTGAAAAATCGCCCTAACTTAGACTTTCAAAGGATGTAAATTCCTCAGGTTTTATTTAAAAGAAGAAAAAAAAACTTAATTTGTTTTCCAAAGATAAACAAAACTTAATTCAGAAGGTCATTTGTGATGCTCATAGTAAAAGCCAATGGAATCTTCAGTTTGGCTGAGGGTTTAATACAAACATATATCAGATATGAGTTGAATCAAAAGATTGGATCTGTGCATTAAGCCTTACGGTGTAAAACTCTGCTGCTTCACTAGCATGCGCAACGTGAATGCTGTAGCCAGTTAATATGAGCCTTAAAGGTGACATATCATGAAAATCGGACTCTTCCAGGTTTTAAGTGCTATAATCAGGTCCCCGGTGCATCTACCAACCAAGGAAACGTGTAAAAGATTAACCCAGTAACTTTGTTTTGGTAAGCCTTTTTCTGCAAGCGTCTGAGAAAACGAGCGCGAGCTGAACTCTGCAGGACTGCGGCTCTCTAGGACCGAACTTGCCTACCCCTGTACTAAGGTCTCTGTCATTTGTTTCATAATTGTAGATACTTTGGAGCTGTTTTATATCCATCCAAACGGAAGCAGAATAACTATTCATCTGGTGAACTCTGTCATTTGTTTCATAATTGTAGATACTTTGGAGCTGTGTTATATCCATCCAAACGGAAGCAGAATAACTATTCATCTGGTGAAGACGGGCATTGCTTGGTGGACTGACAAGCATGTGAAGTTCAGAAACCCAGGAGGAAACAACAACAACCTCTCCATTGTGTTCCAAGGTACATAAAGCTAAACCCTATATATCCTACTGGTCACAAATTTCAAAGGCCTCTAAATACTCAACATGATCAAAACTTTCCTGAGAAATCTACTTTTTGCTGTCAAATCTTTACTGGTTTTTATAAAGTACACATAAGAATAATTTTTATATTTCAAGATGAACACTTACTGGACTGAAGCAACTTGATTATCCAGAAATCATTTTTTAGAAAAATCATGTTAAAATGTGAGTCTCAAATCTGATCATCAGGCTTTTGAGAAATGTTTATTTGTTCAGCTCTCAATCACCATTATATTGCATTGCATTATATTTTGATGATAAATCTAAGCATTTCAATATCATCTTACTCCCATATTATTGGAGATATAGAGTGATGACTGATATTTATATAATTTTATCTAAGTATCTGCTATACTGTTATAAAGATCTCATTGATTAACATTACAAGCATCAGAATTTCAGCTTACTTTTTGGTCATATAAATATCACCAAATTGCACATTTTTGCTCCGTTTGAGCCTCTGAATAAAACTGAGGTGTTTATTCCTTCATATTCTCACTGTGTCTTACTATATTATGAGCCATAAAAGCCTGATGTGTCCAATATAATAGTCATTCAGTCTGTAATATTGCTAACCAGTGTTATTGGTCATCACAGAAACAAGTAAACCGGTAAACTGGCACAAACCCGTTTACGAGCTGGACCCGTCTGATCCAGAGAACAACGGGTTCATCAATGAGGATTTCATCGTGTGGATGAGAACCGCTGCTCTCCCCACCTTCAGAAAACTCTACCGCATCATTCAGAAGAAGAAGGATAACATGACCCCGACACTACCGCCAGGAAACTACAGCCTGGAAGTGACCTACAGTATCCTTGAGAAATGCATTACCAAAATGAAGACTCAAATTAAAATGTTCAGATTTACTGTATTTGGAGTTATTGCACCTTTTAAAAAGTGCTTGTCAAATTAATAAATTATCAGATGTGAGTATGCTGTAAAAAAAAATGTAAATAAAACTCCAAAAAATTATTATAGGAGTACATTTTACAAGAAAACACAATTTCAGTTTTTCAGCTTCAAAATGTAACCTTTAATTCAAAGTTTTACTTGCTGTTTCTTTGCAATTATTCGTGAAGTTTACTAGCAATTTCTGAGTAAAAATAGTTTCAAAGTAAATCCTACACCATTTTTTCCCCCCAGTGTAGCTGCTGGAAACAGGCTCTGTGAGATTAACATATGCATCTAAACCACGTTCATATCTATTTTATATCACGTTTATATCTTTCACGTTTATAACTTAAGCCAAGACACTACAGACAAAAACTTTTTCATGCACTGGGGAATTTTGGGGTTTTGGACTGTTTGGCTTTTCATAATGCCTCCTTTCAGACTAGTGGAAAGAAAACGTCCAAAATCACTCTTACGTGTTTATGTTATTGCACTTTATCTATTTATGTCTGTAGATTACATATCTATAAAGTAGATATGTAACAAACAAAAAAAAAAAATTATCTATAAAGGCTTGCAGTTTTATCCCTGTAAAAAAGTACTAAAGTACTGGGACGATTTTGCGCGAACTATTTCCCAGTACCATTTAAAAGGTTGCATTCGCACCGAGAGTGTCGTAAGCCGGTCGACAGCGTCGTCATTTGTGCGCGGCGTTCAACAACAAATAAAGAACAACAACATTAACAACAGGAGGATGGAGGACGCTGTGATCGGAGCTGTGTTTTTGTTGTATCTCGCGGGTTTCACAATAATGGACATGGACAGTCAATGTATACGTAAAGCGATTGAAAGAACGGAAAGGAGGACTAAGAATCTCCAACGACAACTGGCAGTGCTACATTTGCTACAAGTGCCTGCACTTCAGCGTCCGTCCATCTATCGCTGTTCTCCATACTTGCGAAATAAGTTGACACAATGTTTACAGTATGTTTACACGGCGTTTTAAATCATACTTACGTCACGGTTAGTACCAGTTGTGCTGGTTAGACCCTGCTCCGGAGTAGGAGCTAATTTGGTTCTCGAAAAAGGCAGTCCGGTACTAAAATCGCTCCCAGTTCCGGCGGTGCGAAAACGCCAAAAAGTGGGTAGTTCCACAATTAGTTCTGGTACTATGAAAAGGTTCCCGCGGTGCGAAAGGCCCTAATGTTCTAATTAAAGAATTCAACAAAGGAAAACAGAGTGCAGAGACATGTAAAATCTAAAAACCTTCTCTTGTCAGGGACGATTCTTAAAAAATATCGGCTGCTATACAAAATGAGGCAATTTGGTCTGACATACAAAATGCTAAGGCAAAAGGAATCCAAAGTCAGAAGGCCCACTTACACAAACAGTCCAAAACTTCTTTTGTAATTCTGCACGTATGACCACTGACAAAATAGACACAATTACACGAAATAAGAAAAAGCATCAAAGAATGGTCCTCTCAGACACAATGATTTTCCTCCACAAAGAGTTCATCAAGCAACACCCAGACATTAGTCAAAGTTATTAATCTTTCTGCGCTCTTAACCCTTTCTATGTCACAGCCCCCAAGCCATCTGATCGAAAGACCTGTCAGTGCCAATACCATGAAAATGCAAAGATGATGCTTGAGGTCTTGAGAGAACATGGGGTTATTCAGAGTAGCAAGCTTGATGATAGTTTTGAGCTTGTTTGTTGCTCTCCTCCAAGTGAAGCATGTCTCCTGCGCGTTTGTCCTCGCTGTCTTCACAAAAGCACACCGGTTGCAGCACAGCAAGAGCTGATCAATGTTGAGTGGCAGCAGTGGGAACGGGTAAAGGACCAAGAGGCAGGCGAACCTCACCACAACACTAAACTTGTGAAGCATACTGGCACCATAGCAGAACTCATACAGCTGTATGAACACCTGTTGCGCAATGAGACAACAACACGTGTGTGTTTGGTCAGAAATCAGTCCAGACAGTACAGGAAGATGATAGACAACTGTGATGAAAACAGTGTTATTGTGCATGTTGACTTCGCAGAAGCATGGAAATGCAAATATAGTTCTGAGGTACAGTCATGCCATTTTGGTCAGAACCTCCCCCAACTCAATCTGCATACTGGCATGTACTACACAAAAGATGAAAAGGCTGGCTTTTGCACTGTGTCTGAATCCAAGCGTCAGGATGCTGCCTCCATTTGGGCATACATGGATCCTATCCTCAAAACAATTAGTACTCACATGCTGTGACAGCCGCTTTCTGTCCGTGTGCTTTGTATGTGTGCACTCAGAAAACCGTATATCAGAAGTTTCAACAAATTTTTTATGATTTCAGTGCGATAAACATGATAATCAGAACCAAAACAGATGTTTTTAGCAGGTACGAGCTGTAATG